TGTTTTTCAAAATATATTTGCCATCTAAAAATATAACAATAAAGCTTTATATAGTAGTTTAAAGAAGTTTCATGAAACTAGTATGCACCATGCAATAGGGTAGACAGGGTTGTGCCAAGGGTAGGAAACATACTGCAAAACATTTTAAATTAATAGTGAGAAGAGATAGCAGCAGTTTTAACTATATATACATCCATATGTATATATCTTCGTAAATATATATAAATATGTTCACATAAAGTTTATATTTATGTAATAAATAAATATATAAATACATGAATGTTAAGAGTAACGTTCTTATTGGTGCTATTTTGGGAAACTTTATTATTAACTTTTTATTTTTTTATAGTTATTTTGAAAAATTTTGACATGTTTACTCAATGTTGCTTACATTTTATTTCTTAAAATTTCTAGTTAGTAATTAGTACTAACGCAATAAATTTATCCGAAGTATATAGTTTTTAATAACCTTATAACATATTCACACTGTGTCATTTAGGCGGTTTTGCTCATTATAACCACTAATGAGGATGATTTACCATTAAAAATCTCTCATATAAATAAGCACATTATGAATAAATCAGCTCATTTAAGGCGAAAAGTTTCGAATGCAACCCTTAAAAATTAATTTCTCACAAGGGGAATTTTAAAATATCATATATCACATTTCATATTGTTCGATCAAATCTGATGTGTAATACGCGCTTAAAAGTTTGTAAAAAATACACAGGATGCTAGTAATAGATATTTTTAATAATAGAAATAATTTTTCTATTCTGCATACTATAGTTAGAATTAAAAATCAGGCCAAATTCGCTTTTGGTAAACTGTACTATTATTAATTAATATTGCAATACACACATTAAAATACTTGGATTTGATGTTTGTACTCCAACCTGGGAACTATATTTAAAATTTATAGTACACAATGTTATTTTTTAATAGAAAAATGTTTTTTTGTATTCTTCCGACTACTGTGGGAATAGTTACCCGCATCAAGTTTTATTAGAAAAACTTAACCTAGATAAATATTATATACGGACAGTCAAGCTCCTAGAAGTTAGCATTTTTTCTGGAACTTGAAAATCACATTCAAAGTTTATGGTACTTTAAAATGAAAAGTAATAGTAAAAGTAATAGACATTCTTAACTGAAGAAAGAATAATAAATATTGTATGTATACCGTTGCTCTAGCACTAAGATATATGTGCCTTCTTCTGGAGTCTGAGAATGATTCTCAGTTTTTATAGTACTTTGAAAGAAACTATGCAGAATATTTAAAGGAATTTCTATTTCTACAGATAGTTATAATGCCGTGATGGAGACGTCGCAAAGTTTAAAAATTACATACTCTCTAAATTGAAATGAAAATTAGAATACGAGTATGTCCGCCTGTATGGTTTTATCTGTTTATTTTTCTGCCAGTAAACATACAATGCTTTGCTGATAGTACAACTTTGTTCATTGTTAACCAATTATGTTAGACTTTATTAAAAAATATTTTTATATTCATAAAATTTTTAATAAAACCAACCAATAGTGACCTAATTTTACTACACAAAAAAGTATCGAAAAGCAAATCAAGAGGAGTGATGGCCGTGCATCAAAATTATCATTATTTGTCCACAGCTATGTACGTTACTTCGTATGACAAATACATGACATTATGTTTTAACGTAACGAATTTTTTTAACGTTGCCCACCCAACTTAACAACTTTATTGACATTTTATGTGCAGCATTTATCATCAATTTGGGCGCAACACAAATTTAAATAAATTTATCTTCTTTTTTCCCAACGTTTGCTATTCTCTCACTTTTTCCCCATAAAATAGAAATAAATTTTTTAATGTCTAAATCAGCCAAAATTTAAAAAAAAATATTTCGGACAAAAATATATGAATTCAAATACAAGGACCTTGCTTTGTACCGGGAATGGCACAGGGAAAAATATTTTTGCTATGGCTTTGGGTTTACGTGTTTTACGTTTTATGTTTCTGGTCGGGAAATGTGGTTTGCTATCGTTTATAGTGTGATTTCTATTTTTTTAAGTAGACATAAATGATTACACTTTTATTCAAGTACATATATTTTCCGGCAAGTGTTCTATTTTAGAATGAAATCAAAACTAAATAGCGTGCAGGTGCAAATTCGGTCGTTTTGTGAATTTAAAATAGAATTTTTTATAATTTATGATTAGAGATTTTAATTTGTTTAAATTTACTTTGAATATTCATAGTTAAAGGGACTAATTAAAAATAGATTATCCTGGCAAAAATATATTTTTTTGTAGCAATTAATGATTACTTTTAAATAAGTAATTTAAGTAAATAATATATATATATAGTATATTTTTATAACTTAATTTATTAGCAATTGAATTCAAATGATGAAGAAGCAGACAAACTCTCAAGAAGAGGCGCGGCTTCAATAATGATAGGTTTAGAACACTTCTGCGATCTAGACAAAGAAACTGTATTCTTGTCTATGTCGCAAAGGTAAAAAAAAGAGGTAAAATAAGAGCTACCAAGACTATTGCAATCTAAAACAGTTTTAGGGAGTTACAAGCTAAAACGCTTCAAGGATTGCATAGAACTAATAAAGAATAACCTAATAAAAATAACCTATTAACTTAGGAGGGTATTTCATGGAACATAAGAAATCAAGGCTAGAAAAGATAGGCTCTATACTGTCTTTAATTAAATAAAATGAATTTGGAGAAACACTTTAATCTGACTAAGTGGCACAATAGATCTTTAAAGTAGCAGTGTACTATTCCTTTTTCTTAGTAATAATTCATACGAAATATGCATGCTAAATTATTTTTTTTAAAATGCATTTAAAACAAGAAGAAGAAAAAAAACCAAAGTTAAAATAAATGTTAATATTTTTCTGATTTATATATAAAAATGTAATTTAAATAAAATTTACCAAGTCTATATAAAACGCAAAATAAATCATAAATATATAAACCTTCTAAAAAACCTTAAAATACTTCTAAAAATAATGTCATTGGGAAAATGTAAATTTTTTAATAAAATTTCATGATTAATCTTAGTCAAAAACAAAAAATTATAATTTTCGATACTTATTTCGAAATTTTTATCTTTTTAAATTAACATTTAACATTATTATTCAAATATAAACACTTTTAATTATATAAATATTTTTTTAAAATATTTCATCAATAAGCTAAAAATTTCAGATCTCTATTATTTACAGAGTCTGAGATGTTAAAAATTGGCCAAAAATACAAATCCTAAAAACCCAAAAAAATTTTAAATTTCTTACCAAGAAACTCTATTCTATTCTACTAATATTAACTGATAATTTAAGAAAAAATATTTACAAAATATAAATCGAAAATTTTTATTTTTAATTTTGATTAAGATTTATTATAATATCTTAATAAAAAACTAAAATTTTCTTGATATAATTCTTCTAAGAAGTATTTTTAAAATTTTAATTTACATTGTACCTTACAAGTTACTTATTTCAACTCCATTTAAGTTATATGAAATTTTGAAAAATATTTCACAAAAATATTAATATTTTATTTTTGATTCGAAGAATAAAGAACATCATGGAACATTAGTATTAATTATTTTGATCATTAATATTAAAATTTATAATAATATTATTATTAAAAGTGTTTTAAACGAATCAATTGTATTTTGGTATGAAGGCATTAAGTATCAAATTATGACTAAAGAATGAATTAAAAACCAATATATAATGATCTGCTTTTGTTTTTTCAGGACACATTTTATTTGAAACCATATTTCTGTTAATATTGAAGATAAGTGTCTTCTTTCATATACTTTTTTCGTATTTTTGACCAAACTATTGTTTTTCCTATAATACTCTATTGGAAACACGTTTTATATGAAGCGTAGGCAAAAGTTACCAAAATTTGGAAGCATATAAATTAGTGTCATTAGGTAAAATAATTTATTTCAAACATATTAAAAAGCATTCTCAAATAATTGTTCCGTTTGAAACAGTTTATATTTAATGTATTTTTAACTTTCTTAAAAATTTGTTTCTTTTTTAATATATTTTTTTATTTTTGATATTCCATTAGTTATCACATTACCTTTTTTATTGAATTTGTGTCGTTATATTTTTTTATTACTTTTAGCAAATTTTGAAGTTAGGAAAGTTTTTATTAAATATATAAATAATATACCTTTACCCCTTTTATTTTCTATATGTTATAATGTCAAAGTAATTTTATTAATATTTCTCATATTTTCTAATTTATTTGCCGACATCTTCTCTATAAAGTGCAAGCAATTTTTTATGTGAAATCACGCATATTTTTTGTTTACATTTTCATAAAGAAAAAACAGCTTTAAGCAAACATAAGACAGCATCCAATGTTGTTATAAACTCAAAAGAAAAAAGGCATGAGAAGAAAAAAATATAATTCACTCACGAACTGTTAACAAAATTAAGCACAGCGCCAGCACCAGCACCATATGCCATGCTAATGCAAGTGAGAGAAAGAGCGCATAGGGTATTTCTTTACTCTACGGTAACAACTGTTGTTATTGTTTATATACACGTAAACCAATTGAACAGGACTCAACACAATATGTGTTGCTCAACTGCACAACAGAGCGTATGTGTAACATTTAGAGCGCATTAGTACTAATTTAGTACTCGCCCCAGCATCCATAATAATTTTACTCTTGTGTGCGCTCAATAAAAGACTTTTTCCATCGATTTTCAGTCAGGTGGAGACAGTTGACGTGTACGGTTGTTCTGCGGATAATGTGAAAACGCATAAAAGACAAAAAAAAAATATATACTGCAAAGTGTTAGCAAATGTGACATATACAAAATTCAAATAATTTAAATGAAAATTATATTAAAACCAATATTAATATAAAATAATTAAAATTAAAAATGCTCAATAAAAAAATGTGTCAAATTTAAGAACATTTTTGAAAAATAATGTGGTTCATAGAAAAGTATTAAAAATGCTGAACAATAAGATTTTTAACTAATTTTCACATATCAGACCTAACAAAAAAATTAAGTAAGCACATACACATACACATATATCTCTGTGTTACCAGAAAAAGGTAGTATACCAATGTTGGAAAAAAGCTTCTGTTACTGCTACTGTGATTGCTCTTCTTGTGCTGCTATTACAATTGGTACACAAAATTTATTCACCACACCCTGATCCTGTTTGCAGACAAAAATTTACATACACACACGCAAAAAAGTGAGCACAAGTATAAAGTGTATGTATGAGTATGTTATAAGTTGTAATTTTATTTTAACCATACAAATACACACGCAGTTGCATAGTAATACTAATACTTTTATGAGACCAAAATAGGCACAAGTCAAAATCAAGTAGGAAACAACGTGCAGATGCAAAAACAAATAAGCGGCAATGTAACAAAAAATTCGGGAATCGTATAAACGTTGTTGTTGCTATTTGAAAAAGTCTTTGATTTTTATTGCATACTTTCGTGTGTTTTACATTGGTATTGTAAAATCCTGTTGGGCTTGTAAAGAAATTGTGTCTGCTGCAAAGTTTATTACGCATTGAGAGCTCAATATACGATGTACTGGAAATTCAAGTTTTATTTATAAATAAATAATAAAAAAGTTAAAAACAATTTATCAACAAATAAATGGATTATATATGTGAAAAAAAATTTATTTATTTAAATTTGTGAAAAATAACAAGAAAATAAATAAATCTAATTTAATTATAACGTTCAATTATTTTTGTTAAATATAGTTTTGGAATAAAGTATTGTTGAATTTGTAAACAATTTAAATGAATAATTTTCAAATAGCAATTGAAGTAAGTTTAGTAGTAATAGTTAATTGAAAATAATTGTTTATTCACCTCTCTGAAAACAGAACTCAGAATAAATGAGTATATGGAGCACCAGGTCAACCATCTGTTTAGATTTGTTTTATTTCAAATTTGAAAAGGTAGATATAGTTGCCCTTTATTTTAACTTTATCTCATACTTACATATGAGAACTATAATGCACTATTTATAATAAAAGTTAACGTTTTATACGAGGTATTTTTTTTTAATTTATTACTATTAATTACGTACAAATTTTAATCATTTTTTATTGTTTTATTAATTAAGTATTTGTTACGTTACGATTAAGATTATTAAAATTTTCTAATGGAATAACATAAATTAACGATTATTAATTATTAATAACCAAGTATAAGTTATTTCAATAATATCACTTATTTTAATCAATTATTTTGATAATGCAAAAAATTTTATCTCTATCATTTATAGAGCCTGAGATATGTCCATTTAAAAATTGATCTAAAATACAAATTCTCAAAACTTCATGTGACCATGTTTCTAACAAAAATAAATTTAAAAATATAAGGCATTAAAAATTTTTACCAAAGAAATTTTTACCAAAAGATTTAAACAAAATACATAAAAAAATTACAAAAATTTAAAAAAAAATTTATTTTTTCATAAAAATGGTCAACAGTTTTTTAAAAACTTAATTTCGAATCACCCAACTTATTTTCAAGCATAGAAGCGTTAAATATTAGGTTAATACATATTTATGGAACTAAAAATCAATATATAATGATCCGTTCTTAAAATATTGTAAGTTTTCTAACTGCATGTTTTTTCAAAATTTTTTTGGCACCTTAAAACTTTGTTAATATTGAAAATATATATTAATATCCGTGTAGTTTTTAATACAGAAAAATAATATTTCCTTCGATATATAATATTTCGTTAGGAAATACCCCAAGCACTAAAATAAAAATAATTTATATGACACATATTGAAACGTGTTCTAAATTATTGTTCAATGTAAAGCTCTTTGTATGAAATGCACTCTTGAATTTCTTGAATTATTAATAAAATATATTATTTATAAAAGTAAATCTTTTTTTTACATACTTTTATTTTACATATTTATATTTTTATTTTAATTTTATATTTGGCATCATTTTCACTTTTTTATAGAAATATTGCTTTATTTTCCATTTATTGCAATTTTTGGAGTTAAGAAAATTTGTAATTAATATGTATACAAGACTTTGTCAATTTCAATAATTTAGTAAATTATATATTAAACTTTAATAAATTTCGTAAATAAGGCACTTCTAGCACAATATTAATATAATAAAATTATAGAAAATATGCAAACACTATTTTGAATCCAATAATGAAACTTAAAATGAATGTGGTTAATAGTGGTATTGTATCAATAATAGTAGTGGTTCGACTGCTTGAATCAAAGTTTTGATTTAAAAATCCTTTAAGTTATCTATTATTAGATATATATGCGTTAGCACATAAATTCACTACAATTTAAAAATATAGTTTGTACAGTTTTGCAATCTAACTTATCTTGTAAGTTCAATGCTTTCGAAGTCGTCAAGGATTAAAAACCCAAACTCTTAAAAATTGGAGTTATGTTTAGCTGTAGTATGTTCTGTGCCGAGAACATAATCTTCCTAATATTCATGATAGTGTCGAAAAAGATTGAATATTATCATAATCTGCCTTCCTTAGATAGTACTCGATTTGAGTTTATAGTGGCTTCTTAATGGCTTAGTGTAGGTTTTTGTTTTCTTTTTAAGTTTAAAATAATTTTAGCATTAATTACCTTATAGATTTATAATATCTTTGACTGGAGAAAACCAGAATGACTGCTCCTTTTTCGCTTCGCAAATGTAGTTTTGTCATAAATATTATATTAAAATTATATCATATTTTAATCAATATCGAAATAGCGAATTCTTTTCGCTGTAGTCTATAAGCTACAGTAAGAATCCGTTTTACGTGTGGAATGCTTTTTCAAATATATATTTTGTCGTTAAACGAAATAAATGATAGAGATAAGTGAAAGAGAAGTGAGAGAGAAATGGAATATATAGTCAATTTTTTAAATTAAATTTTGCAATATATGTCGTTAAATGGTATTCATTACATTGATTATAATCTGATTTATTGCAAATATCGACATTTATCCATAAAACATTTATTCGTAAAATCAGAAAGTTTTATGTGTATAAATTTATGTACACGAAGTTGAAGGTTTTTTCTTACATAACATTTTTTATAATCATTCTATGAAAAATCGTCTGTGTTTTCTAATTTCTTTGTCGATCGCCAAAGACGAGATATCTTTTTTAGAAAAGATTAGTAAGGCACGGATCTACTCGTTATGCCAGTAGGGCGACTTTTGTTTATGAAATTCGTTAATAGTTGTTATTGATTCTAAACTTCAGCAGAACAAATTCTATAATTGCCTTGCTCCTATTCTTTAAAATAGTCGTTAGAAAAACGTTCACTCATTTCAACTTACAATAACTCCTTAATCTGTGCATTTAATTATCTTGCACTATTTTATTAGCTGATTTCGCACTTTCATCGTTATTAGCAATGACTTTTCTAGTATTAATATCTTTATTTAGTTTCGTCGGTACATTCTTTGAGACTTTTTTCATATATACCAAATTAGAGTTGGCGAATTTAGACTATATCAAAATACTGTTTTATGTTTAAACAGTGTTTAGTGGGATTGTATACATAGTTATTGTAAATCTTTTAATATTTTAAGACATATTCAAATAATATATCGAACAGAAACAAAAATATATGACGTTTGCAATATAGATTTCAATAGATCTTGTAACGAAATTTTTAAGCGTAATGAAAAATTAATTTTCGTATATTTTCAATCATTAACTTATTACCCTTGTTAGAGTCTTATTATTATTAAAAATGCTTTCGATTACTCTAAACTGTAAGCACACCTAATTCTATCGACATGTGAAATAAAATTGCCTCAGCTAACTAATAGATACAATTTTTTTTAAATACTTTTGCTCTTTTACGTAACATTACCAAAAACTTTTGATTAAATTTCAAGTAACTTTTTTTTATATATTATTAATATAATTATGTCCCTATGTCTAAATAATTTTGTTTATATTTTTAAAATAAACCAATCAAAATGCTACGATCTAATTGGTGTAAATATAAGCAATTGCAGAATATTGCCAATGCTAAAGTGAGCTTTCTTCAATTCATAAGAAATTTGATAGCATATAAATATAGTCAAATTCCATGTTATACTGTTACTCCACTTCTCGTTTACCGAGCTCATTACTTGTAATAGTGAATTCATTGTTTGTTCATTGATTAAGATTAAGTTCAGTTAAGTAGCATAAAAGAACAAAAAACTGCAATGAAAATGCAAAAAATATGTACAAAAAAAATTTACAAATTTGCAGCAAAAACTATGTTGTTTTGTGTACAATAGAAGTTTGTAAAAAAACATTTATTTAAATAAATAGTGGAAATTAGTAAAAGATTTAAGTGAATTATTGAAAATTAAAATTTTGTGAGCTAGTCATTGATATCAAACGATGATATCAATGTTTGTAGGATGCATTGATTAGAAAGAAACTCAATTAAGGAATCAGAGAAGCCAATTATTGATTAGCAATGTAACTATTTGTATGCAGTACATATTAATAAAAAAGTATATTTTTTTATATGGTATATTTTATTCAGGCATAAAATTATTATAAATGCCTGATTTAATTGCTCTTGTACATAATGTTGAAAATATTATTTATTTTATTTTATTTATGTTTTATTTATTATTTATTTATTTTAATTTATTTTAATTCTACCTCACATCGATAAATTTTAATGACTGTATGTTCATATAGTTATATTATTACTTCATATTTTAATAAAATATGCTTGTGAATATGAATAATATATTATTACGTGTGTATGAATAATTTAAATTAATAATATTAAATATATAATGTTCTGATTATATCAATTTTTTCATATTTGTATATTTATTTTTTTAATGTTAATTTAAATTATCATTGAAAATTGAATATGAATAATATAATATATTATTATAGGTTTGTAAATCATAATATTATCAATGTCATGTATATAAAATTTCTAATTAGATTAATTTATTTATACTTATATGTTTACTTTATAATAATTTTAATAGTCAAGTAAAAAATAATTTAAATAAATTTTAAATTAAAGTTTGATTCAAATTTACATAAATATATTTTTAAAATAAATTTTTGTTGTATTTAAAGTATGTCTTAAACGTTTTTTTTTTTTATTGTTTTATGTCTACAACTGGTTAAAGTTTTCTTCATAAAGAAAAAAAACTTTTATTTATGCTCGCATATAATCGGCCGTAATTCAACACAGCCACAGCCTCAAAATTCAGAAATTCAACAAATCTTTTGATAGGGAAACTGAGAGTGGGTGAATAAAAGCAAATAGTATAGAAAAAAAATTTTAGGTCTAAAAATAAACTGAGAGTATGCAATAAAAAGGAGAGGAAATAACAAAAGAAAAACGAAAACAAAAAACAACAATAATATTGTAGTTAAACTAAATTAGAGGAGTCGTATACGACTAACTATTATACCCGATTTGAGTCAACGGACATTCAAAAAAAATGTAATTGCTATTCTGGTCTATACATAAAGGACAAATATAGGGAAAAATAAAGAAAAGAAAAATAAAACTTGAACCAAAATATAAAGAAAAAAATATGTAGAAAAGAAAAAAATTAAAAGAAAGAACAGGAAGAAGGAATTAAAAAATTTAGGAGGAAGAAATTAAATAATTGTTTTGCTTAAGTGGCAAGTTCAGATGAAATTAAGACCCAAAATATATAAATAATAAGAAAAAGATACAAAAAAAAGATGCAATAAAAAAAGAAGAAAAAATAATATATATATAAAACGATACAAATAAAAATTATAGACCAATTTATATGACATTATTGAGCGAACGGAAATTCGTCAAAAAAAACCCGGAAATTTATACTTTATCGATAACAAATGCTTGATAAATATTATTTTCTTCAAGTGGCCTCAAAATCTGATCAGCTATTGACGACTAATAACCCACTAATAACTTATAATAAAAATGTTTAATATTAAATTGTAAAAATAAGTTAAGAAACCTGTAACAAAAACTGATAAATTAATAGTGATAAAAATAAAAACTTAGTAATAATATAAATTATATTACCAACGAAAAAATATAAAAATATATGTATATATATATCAAAAATCGTTAATTTAATATAATATTAATGATGACAATTAAGTAAACAAAATAGTTTTCTAAATAATTTTTTAAAATTTAGAAAAAATATCATAGAAAATTTCGACCCAATTGAACAGCAAATTTTCATACAATTGTCTTTTTTAATTTGAAATTGAATTCTGTTAAAAAAAACATATTAAATTACAAAGAATTTTTTTGAATTTAATATTTGAATTTTTACTAAGCTTGTCTGTATCTCTAGCGCACGAACGATTGTCATAGTTCAAGAATGTGAACCTACGAAATTCCCACTTGTTCTTCACTTTCTCCGTTGACGCTCGCTGGTAAAATACCGCACTTCGAAAAATCAAGCGTATGTGCTTTTGATAACCGTAAATGTGAGACATTGTAGCATGATTTGGGCATGCTATAGCACAATTTCTTTAATTGAAAATCCAAAACGACGGTGTTAACTTAGCACAAAATATAGGATCGTTTTGTAAAATTCGTATTACCAAGACTATAATCGTTTTATATGACATATATGAAAACAGCACTACTTTTTGATAATCGAAAATGGCGTTGCACACTTTGCACCCAAAAAAGGACCTCTTCGTAAAATCATTATTTTAGGGACTAAATTTTTTAATACGCCATATGACATCACATATTGACAATATAATTTTTTCTTAAACAATATATATTTTTCTTAAAAATCGAAAATGGCTATCCTTTGCACCAAAAAAAAACCTACTTGTAAAATGCTTAGCTTTAGAAATATAATCGTTTTTAATAATTTTGTTTGAATATAAAAAATTCTATTGCTAACTTCATAAACATTCTGGTCTAAATGAAATTACAATTTTATTATCAATTTAAAAAATAAAGTTAATAAAAATTGGTAATTAACTGTATTTGTGCAAGCGCTTCTTGCTTTCTTCTTTCATTTTATGGAGTTTAGGTACTTTTGTTTTTAACCATTGGCAGAATATTAGTTTTGTCATGAAGCTTTAAAGGTTCAGTTTGAGCTCATTTTTAAGCATTCACATAGCTATTATATATAATTAGATAAACAGCCAGATCTCTTTCACTACAACGAATATTTCATTCGAACTGAGGCATAACTTTTAAAGCCCTTGTCACTAAATCCTATCCGTTTTGTTAGAACGTTCTATGGTTCGATATATTTTCGTTATCCATATTAAGCAGTTATTCACATTAAGCTGTAATCCTCATTAAGCTGTAATCCACATAAAGGTGTTAACTACATAAAGGCTTATCTACATATACGTGTCTTCCATATTACGTGTCTACCATATTATCCACACAACAAGATGTTATCTACATTAAGGTGTAATTCACATTAAGGTCGACCACATTAAGATAAACTTTGAACAATAGTGCGTTGCGGTTTTCTACTCCAAAAATTTAGACTTAATGCCTTAAAGATTGAATTTGTCATGGACAACTTTTTTTTTTAAAACAAAGTTTTAAATATATCAACTTATTCAAACTTAAAGAGCTGTCACCAGTTTTAAAGTTATGGCAGTTTGTAGTTGTTTACAGTTTAATTGAGTCTTTTTTTATTTTAAAACTCTGAATCAATAGGAAATTATTTGTATAATTTTATTTTGAAACAAAGTTCACATTTTTTTGAAATTTTAATTAGAAAAAAGTGTTTTTAGTTTGTGATAAATGTTCTTTACAAAAAAAATAAAATATAATAGACTAGAAATCTTGCAAAACCTATAATATATTAATAATAATTAATAGCTAATATAATTAATAACTATTACTATAATATTATTATATGTAGTAATATTTCGTTAAACATTTTTTTTTGAAAAATCGAAAAAATTTGTTAGTGTAATTTAAGTTCTCTATATATTATACAATACATTATTATTACTGAATAGTTTAATATAATAAAACCATAAACCTTAAAACATATATTCTTAATTTTTAAATTGTAGTTTAATATTTATAGCATTATTAATTATTATCCATTTCTATGTATTTATATTCTCTTTTTAACTTACAGAATCGAATGCCAAATAAAATTTAAGTAAAATAAATATACATATATGTGTATATGTATATATATTCCACAAAGAAAAAATTAGCCTAAATGTTGACTTAATACTTGCCTCTTTCATACACTTTCACAACTATGATGCAGGTTGTGTAAATAGAAAAAATTTATACTAAAAATAAAGACACAATCTAAATTTTTGTTCTGTAATGCCGTGCTGTCATAATAACACACTAAAACCATAACAAAACAATTATAACAATAATAATAAAAACAACCAGAACATCGCAGTTTACAACATCACAGTTATTAAGACAAATTATTCTAAACAATAGAGCAACTTGAAAACGACTAACTACAAAGGAAACTAGGGTAAAAACTACTAAATCTACTGAATCATATTTAATTAAGGTGAGTTAATTTGCACAATTGTTATGCACGAAACGTTCTTGAACTAATTTGTTTATATATAATCTTCTCGTAAAGTGAAATCATTATGAGAAACCTAAGGATTAAAAAATGATTTTCTTTTGTCACTTATTTAAAAATTAAGTCACTGTTAAATTATTTAAGTAAATAATTCATATTTAATTAAAATACACAAAAGTTTAAATTGTTGGAAAAAGACGTCTAAGGCAAAAATATTTATCTATTTATTCGTAGTCAATGTACTGTAGACACATTATTCAAATCTATTAAAATAAAAATTTTTTTAATAAGCGATTAAAAATTTAATTTTTAATTTTAACCCATTATTGCCAGAGATCCAGAACGGGTTGCAGATTTTAGTTCAGCAGCTCTAAATTAATTTAATGCCATTGAAAAATCAAAAAAGAAAATTTAATCTTGTATAATGTGATTTTCAGACATATACGTACAACTAAATAAATATGCTAAAGAGTAACATTGGGCAGTTATATATTATTTAGGGCAAATCAAAGGTCAATGACGTATTTTGGATTTTTCAGAAGCGATGGATTCATTAAGCAATTGATTTACAGTTGTTCAAAATATATTGATAAATTAGCAACCTTACAAGAAAAGTGAATATGTAAAATAAAATAATATATGCAACTGTCAGAAGCAGTAAACGAAAATGTAAAGTACCAAACATAGTGTACTGTCTTGTACACTACACGAACACTACACTAAATAAAGTTCGAAACACTTCAAAAAAATTTAAGCATTTGTGTTTATTAACACAAGCTCTTAAATTATAGTGTACTGTTTCCAAAATCTCATTTCAAATTTTGAATGTTCTCTTTAGTGTTCTTTTCACGAAGGTAATGAACTTTTGTAACGATCATTTTTCGAAAATAGTGTATTTTTGTGTTTATAGAGCAAAACGATTTGTTTTGTTTTTAATGTGTATTGTTGTATAGATAGTAAGAAAATTTTAAAAGTAGTTTCGTAGTTTCTTCAATGGAGTTTCTATAATATTTTATGGAAATGTTTCTACATATTTTTTAGGTCGGATTAGGATCAATAAAAACTATTAATTGCTGAAAGTATTTATGTGTATTTTGTTGGAAATGAAAACATTTTTCTTTATTTTAGAAACAATTATTTTAATCCAAGTATTACCAATAATTTTTACAGTTCTACTTTCAAGTTGACATTACGACAGTGAAATGTCAGGACAGTGTGAAATGATCAAAAATTGTCAATTTTTTTTGGTCTTTAAAAAGCGTGTGTGTTTGTTGACTTCGATTTATATAGTATAACCAAATAATTTTTACGTTCGTATGATCATATTTTTCAATTTCTTGCTTCGATGACATTAATTGCTAACAGTAAAAATTTATTGAACCATTTCACCCTGTGATAAATGTTGAAATTAGCAATAATAGTAATTATCATCATTGCCTGTCTTTAATTGGTTCCATTTATATAGATAAGTACAGAAATTTAAGCCATATAACTTTTCTTAATTAGTTTGTGACAGATTTAATTATTAAACTACAATTTATCAGCTGTTTTAACATTGAAAAGATTCTCATCATTAATTTTGCGAGAACTAAGTATAAGTTGATTATTATTATTATTAAAGAGTAGACGTGAAAATTGCCCAACTTATTAACTTTTATCAAGTATAACTTGATTAAAGTTCGTTCTTGGTGCCATTATATAGCACTCTTGCTTTATTTATCTTTCGTCGATATTCGTGTTAGTAGTAAGCACTTTATTTTTGCTTATTCTATTAACTACAATTATATATAATTAATTGCGATTTACTATAAATATAGTCTCACAATTTTTGCAATTAATTAGAGTGACAGCAACATAAATGCAATAAAGTACTTTAACCATTTTTTAATTTTCTTTTTAATATTATTGGTTGTTAAAATTCCAAATTATTTTGCATTTTTTTATTTAACATTAAAACACAATATAAATTAGAATTCATTTTAATTAAGTCATTGGGTTTTTACAATAAATTGTTAATACATGTAACGCATATCGTTGCTAATAAGCTAATTCGATTCTCATTTGAAACTCTAAGGTACTTAAGTTTAGTATAGAACGCTTGTGAGGATATAGTGAAAAGGTTTACTTTAATATGGTAAATGATTAAATAAAAAAGTAATTTAAAGGCTTTCGTAGTTGTTTTTATTATTAATATTAAAGTCAAGCATTAAAGTGCGACGAAACGCCAGTCACGATTTATTAAAACAGTTCCTAAAGGCTTTAACCTATTTATTATAATATATTTGTATAAACTTTACATTACTAAATATATATAATAATGTCTAGCGGAAGAGCTGCCTTGAAAAAAGATATCTGTTATTATTTTATATTAAAATTTTGAGACAAACTATATTTCAGACAGTAGATTTCTATAGAATACTTTAACCATACTTAGAATTATAAATCATAAATCATATTATATGTTAATATATTAGCATCATATGTTTATCATAGCTTTATATTTCTAGTGCTGTTACCTAAAATACTAAACTACTAAAATTATACTAAAATACAATATTATTGTTATAAATAATTAATTATCAATTAATAAATTAAGCTTATAACTTTAAGTGGAAACAAGTACATAACTGTACATCGTTACTGTGCAAATTCCAACAGAATATACATTAGTTAGTAACAACTCAGACATATTTCCCGAGACATTTTATAGTTATTAATCGTTACGAGAAAGTCTGGTTAATACTTTTTGCTTATTCAAATAGATGATATGTTACAAGCTGTAAATAGGTGCAATCCACGTCTTGTTATAATATAATTTCCTATCTAAAATTCAATGAAAACATATCCAAACAAAGATATTGATGAACAGTGTATTAAATCCTATATTCACTCATTCGCATATATCTGCGTACACCCCAAAAAAATTTTAAAATCAATCTCTCAACTCAAATTGTTCGACCATTTATTAATATTTTTAATCAATTCTTTTTTTAAAGCATAACTATAATTTATTGTCTTCAATGATATATTTTTTCCAAAATTTTTTAAAAATGTCTTTTATTTCATTTTTAATTTTAAAATTAACACTACAAAAATGATACACTCAAAAGTCTGCGTACAGCTGGTTGAATTTACATGGAATGCAAGATTTTGCGATTACCGTTAGGTTATTTTTTCGTCGATTTTACATATGTTGTCTAAGCAATTAGTATTGCACTGTTAAACTGAGTTTTTTCATCACATTTCGGAGAATTACAGTATGGAGAGTAAAGGAAAAAAAATTTCTTTTAAGGAGTGAAAAATAATCATAAAACCATTCTTAGATGGGAAATCTTATAAAGAAATTGGTGCGTTAGTTGAAAGAACCCACTCCTCCATCCAAAAAGTAATTAATAATCACATTACATAAAAAAGGAGTCGCCCGTAAGAAATCAATGATTTCAGAAGTCAATAGGCAAAAGCGCTTAACTTTTGTTAATGAATTTATTTAAAAACCCCTAAACTTCTGGAATCAAGTCATATTTTCCGACGAAATTAAATTCTGCATGTTTCGAATCAAGGGCAAAGTTTTGATATAGAGGAAAAGCGGAGCAGCCCTACATAAGTTTGGGCTGCTTTATAATGTTAAATATCTGCTGCGAACACCTTAAAAAAAGAATTGATAAAAAATATTAATAAATGGCCGAACGATTTGAGTTGCAAGATTGATTTTAAAATTTTTTGGGGAGTACGCCGATATATGCGAGTGAGTGTATATCTAATATATATATGCTATATATATAAATTTTATATACTAGATTTTAACTGATTTTATTAGTATTATAACAAAATACTTTTATACTCACTTTTAATACCTTTTTTTTAATAATTTTAGTACTTTTTGTTGTTTGAATAATTAATAAAATTAAGAAATTATTAATAATTATTTTTAGTTTACTTTGTGAATTAAAATCTCACAATAAATTTAAAAAAATTGTACTACGGAAATAATATGTAGTGATTATTGTGTTTAGTATGTACTATCTGTTTCTATAATTCAAGCAGAGAACTTTATTTAAATATGTGTGTGTTCAAGAACTCTACATTTTTTTCAATTGCTTATATTATATATATCTATAAAAATTTCGCTAAATAAATAAACATATCTGTGCGTAGGATTGGATAAATCACAAAGTTGTGAAACTCTAACCTAATCAATTTCGTTTTTCTACACTGTTCTGTGATATGATTTTTACCTTATAAGTGTGGATAAGTGTTAGGTTATATCAATTACTATTACTATTCATGCATTTCTATTCAATACGTAAATTGATAAGTTCAGCGTTTCGGCTACTTCGGTGTATTTGATAACTACCACCATATATGCGTGTCTTAATATCTCTTTCAACAGTAGATAGGAGATCCTCTCGTTTATGATACTATATTTCCTGAAATTGTGTTCAAGTTGTCTGCCATTAGTCACCATCTATAACTACTAATTTTCTTAATTTTCTAAATTCCCTATACAAATTTCTTCAAGAGTTACAAAGTAGATTTTGAATTTACAGTATAGCCAAGTGCTGTCAGGGTGTAAAGTCGAGAGTGTGGTAATAACGAACCACCTCGGTTATTTTTAAACGAAACTATATCTATGCGAGGTGGTTGAGGGCAGCAACAGCAATTTCGTGAGTCCACATAATGAATATATTAACAATGTACAAAATTTTGTGAGAAATCTATATTATTTTAATCTGCATGTAGTGAGAATAGTAAGTTTGATACACCAGACTTTGAGCAGCAACCGTGTCCCACTTCCTTATTTTAAAAACTGGACCGCATCTCAATATTTGCATTGATAGCGATCTTGTTGAATACACAGAATTATATTTCAATTAAAATTTTTGACCTGTTTGTTGAAGTTGTACGTTTTCTCTTAATTTGAAATTTGATTTGATGTCTATATTAAAATCATGTTCTCAAAAATTTGAAATATATCAAATTTT